TTGGGATTATCAATTCTTTCTTGTTTGAGGCAAAAGTCTCTCTCTGTTGCCCGGGTTGGAGTCCACTGGCATCATAACTCATTGCAACCTCAAACCCCTGGGCTCAAGTGATCCTCCCACTTTAGCCTCCCAAGTAGCTGGGATTATAGACATGAGCCACCATGTCAGATTGATTTTTCTGTTTTTTTTTAGAGACAAAGTCTTGCTTTTGTTCAAGCTGGTCTCAAACTCTTGACCTCAAGCAATTCTGTCACCTTGGTCTCCCACAGTGCTAGGATTACAAGCAGGAGCCATTGTGTATGGCCTGAGATTATCTATTCTGTAAATGTTGGTTGGAATGTTTCTGTGAAACCATCTAGGCCTGGTGCTTTTTATGAGAGTATTTCAACTCCTTTCTCTAGCTGCTTTATGATTTGTTAAGTTGTGTTTTCCTTTAAATATCTATTTCATTTATACTTTTATTTTCATACAGGTGTACAAAGAAATCTCTAAAGTTTTTAAAATTTTTCTGTTTTTAATAATTTTCCCTGAGTATTCATAATTTTCTACTTTAGGTTTTTTCCCCTTTGCACTTTGTCTCTCTCTTTCTTTTTTAGAAACAGAATCTCACTTTGTCACTCTCCGTAGAGTGCTATGGCGTCACAACTCACAGCAATCTCCAGCTCTTGGGCTTAGGTGATTCTTGCCTCAGCCTCCAGAGTAGCTGGGACTACAGGCACCCACCACAAAGCCTAGCTATTTTTTGTTGCAGTTGGGGGGGGGCCGGGTTTGAACCTGCCACCCTCGGGGCCAGCACCCTACTCATTGAGCCACAGGCACCACCTGCACTTTCTCTATTATGTTAGCCAAGGGTTTGTCTATTTTGTTGATTTTTTTTCTTCCAAGGAAATCTTCTGAAATGGCTCCCAAGGGTCCCTCCTCTTAGCATTCACATTCAGAAGGAGTGATTAGGATTAATCATTCCCTCTGTCCTCACGTGTGGGTTGCACATAGAGACTTAATTCTATGAAGTAGAATATGATAAATGTATTGGGATGTTTTTTCCAAGATTAGGTTATATTATAAAAGACTTCTACTTTATCTTGTTCACTCTTTCTGTATCTCTGTATTTTCTCATTTGCTTGTTTTGAGGAAGAAAAGGGGCACCTAATGATCTGTCCTATGGGGAGGAAGGGAAAGCAGCCTCTGACACTGAAATCTACCAAGCACTGCTTGAGTGACTGGAGAAGCTGATCCACTTCCAGTTGAGCCTTAAGACAACAACAGCCTCCATGAACACCTTGACTGCACTTCATGAGAAACCCCGGGCCAGGTGCTATAAGATACACCTGGATTCCTGACCCACTAAAACTTCAAAGATAATTGCTGCTTTAAACTATTTGTGAGGAAACTTGTTATGCAGGACACATAATCAACACAAAGCCCAGACTTTGTATAACTGTCCAGGAAACATCACTCAGTTGAAAACTGAATAGTTGAGTGGTAATTTGGAAGGAACCCGCACTGTAGAGAAACAACTCTAAATCAGAATTTGAACTGCAATAAATATAATTTTTTTCATTTAACGGCGAAGGTATTTTAAGGTCATTTTCCTCCAATTCTTTCATTTTAATTCATGAAAGGCATACTAGTTGTCCCTTGAAATGATTTATTTATTTATTTATTTATCTATTTTTTTTTTTTTTTTGAGACAGAGCCTCAAGCTGTCCCCCTGGGTAGAGTGCCATGGCATTACAGCTCACAGCAACCTCCAACTCCTGGGCTCAAGCGAGTCTCCTGCCTCCGCCTCCCAAGTAGCTGGGACTACAGGCGCCCGCCACAACGCCCGGCTATTTTTTGGTTGCAGCTGTCACCGTTGTTTGGCGGGTCCGGGCTGGGGATTCGAACCCGCCACCTTAGGTGTACATGGCTGGCGCCTTAGCCAGTTGAGCTATAGGAGCCGAGCCGAAATGATTTATTTTTAATGACTTCTTTTAAAAAATTATATCCATACATGAATATTTAGAATGTGCCAAATTAATGACAAATTGCCTGTATGAAAGGCAGAGATTATGGTTGAACTATAACATGGATTTTTATTGTACATCATTTTAAATAATATTAGTTTGTTTCCACACCCTGGTGGAGACTGCTGGTCGTCCACCAAAAAATCTGTCCTCTGGTCTTCTGCTCTGTCACCCAGGCTGGAGTGCAGTGGCACCATCATAACTCACTGCAACCTCGAACTCCCAAAGTCAAGTGATCCATCTGCCTTCAGCCTCCCAAGTTGCTGGGACTACAGACATGAGCCACCACACTTGGCTGCCCTCCTCTTCTTCCACATTATATATTTTAAGCTGGACATGAGGCTGCCCTGCTAGAGATGAGGGCATCTCTTTAATTCTTCTTTGAGGCCATGAGGGAGTGTCAGTGAAAGGGACGTGCCAACTTTTGCCTCACTTGCTTAATAAGAAATTGCTGGTCAGGACACTTGTTCTCTTCTCCTTTTCAGGAGCTAGACCTCAGATGTGCCTATAACTCAGCTTCGATCATGCAAAAGAGGATGATGAACTAGGGTTCAGTTCCAGGGCATGGTGGAACAATGAGAGAAAATGAACCTAAGTCACTGAGGACTGTCCTGGAGCAGAGCTTCCTACCAACCTCAGCTGCTTGCCTTGGAACTGTCCTGTGAAAGGGAAGTAAACATCTATACTCTTCAAGCCATTGAATTTTGAGGTTTCTTTGTTACAGTGGCTTAACATTTACGCTAATACATCCATCACTGATTCTTCTAAAACACATCATTTTGTAATTGCTATATATACACAACTGAGCCAAATACCAATAACTTAATTTCTGTCCCTGACCAGAAGGAGTAAAATTATTCTCCCAGATATGACTGATTACCAAGGAACCACAGGTTGTTTCTCTGGCATCAACTTTTTTTGTTTTTGTTTCTTGCATAACTTCTGGCTATTATTTAACACCTCTGCACAGCTAGCGCAATCTTCTAGCCCTATCACTTCACCTAAAGATACTGATTTTTGATAAACAAGTTTCTGCTTTCATTTTCTTTGCTGCTCTCTTGCTGAGACATCAAAAGCTGGAACAGGTGCAGGTGAAATTTATGTTCAGAACATCAGCCTGGGCTTGAGAAGGAAGGCCCTGGGAAATGTACCTACCACAAAATGTTCAGAACCAAATTCTCCTGCCGGTCCTTCCCCAAAGTGAATGGGTCCAGCCGAGTACACATTGTTGTGGCTATCTCACCAGTTACCATAGAGAGCTCATCTCAAGAGTTTGTAGACTAGCCTCACAAGATAGTTAAGAAGTGAGCATTATTGTCTCATTACAGGAATCAACGGAGGCACACAGTGACTTACTCCAGGAGAGTCACTGAAAACTACAATCAGGACCTGATCCTCCGAGAGATAAAATGCTCTGAAGGAAAATACAATTCTTTGGCATTACACTTATGCTATGTGCCCCACATTTTCCTTTGCTTTTTTTTCTTAATTGGGAGAAAGAAAGATTGAAGCCTTCCATGTAGGACGTACAGGATGCAAATGCCTTCACTGAGGGAACATATTTCCTTAACTACAAACAGAATAGGTTTTGAAGTACAGTATCTCCAGCTTTCAAAACTAAACCACAGAGTTTTGTTCCACCATCTGTAAATGACAGTAAACAGGACGGAGGAGGGACGGTTCTGCCTCCTGACCCAAACAGCTCTGTGTGTGACACAGCTGGGGTGTGGCAGCATCTCTGTGCTCCTTCTGTAACAGGAAAATGCCATCTGCCAAGAGTTTGGTGCTGTCTCTCCGTCCCCTTGACCTTGCTGTCCAGACAGGACTGAGAAGCAAGGAGAGCAGAAACTAGAGGATGAGGGAGAGAAACTCATTGCAGACAGTCACGTCCCAAAGACTTCCAGGCCTAAAAGGACGACTGGATAAATGCACGTTAGTGGCAGGTGTTCACGCATCACTTAACCACTTAGCAGGTTTTGCATGGGCAGCCAGGAAATTCACAGCCTTCTGCTGCAAACCAGAGACAGAAGGACTGAATCGCACTTGCGCTGCAGGCTGGTCACCTGGGCCTAATTTGACTGTTGCCTCTCTCTCCCTGCGAAGAGGTGCGGAGCGCCTCCCCAGAAGATACCAGAGCCCCAGGAGGGAGGGTTAGGAGCAAGGAGGTAAACCCATCTTGCGGGTCATTTTCTTTCCTGTTCTCCTGCTGAGACCTGGAAAGCTGGACCAGGCACAGTGAGGTGCCTTTCCCAGTCCTTCAGCACCTTGTTTTCTCTGGGCCTAAAGTCCTCAAAGGGTTTGGGTTAATCTTCCCAGGGTCATTTTTTTAACTAGCAGGACGAAGACAGCGGTAAGCATCTTCGTTCTCCGTGGGGAAAACCGAGCAAGGAGAGCGTTCCCTCCCACCGACCTAAGTGTTCCCCAGTTTCCAAATCACAGGACAGCGACAGCGACAGCGACAGGCGATGACTCAAGACCCACTTTGAATCTCCTCGGTTCTTGAGCAAGGGCGAGGGTGCTCGGGGCTCTGGGGAGACGTTGCATCACAGAGTGTGGAAAGGACTTGGGAATTTTCCCTGGAGGACTCGCCGTACTTCCTGGGAGCTAGTCTAGCAGGAAGCGAGCAAAGGTAGGAGTAGTCGGCTGGGTGTGGAAATCCGACCTTCCCTCAGGCTCAGGAGTGGATAGGAAGCGCGCTACGGGATCGGCCGGAGCAGGTGCTTGCAGGCTCGGCCGCTCCCTGCGAGTGTCACGTCTGCGCCCGTCGGGAGTGGGGAGCGGGCACGCGAAGAGAGTCTCACTTTACACACCTGTGCTCCTCGGTCCAGCTGCCGCGGGCAGGACCCAGTGGCCGCCCGAGCCCTCCGGGACGGAAAGCGAGGGGGAAGTGCCTTGCGCAAGGCGGAGGCGGCACCGGGCCGCCCGCGCGGGGCGGGCGCTAGGACCGGGCGGCGCACCTGTTGGCCCGGCCCGGGGCCCCGCCCGGACTGCGGGCTCGGCGTGTGCCCAGAGGGAGCGGCGGAGCGAGCGGAGGGCACCTGGAGGCCCGGGGTGGCGGCGGCGGCTGCAGAACGCGGGCCGGGACGCACCATGGCCGGACTGCTTCGGAGCCTGCAGGATTCCCAGCTGGTCGCCCGCTTCCAGCGCCGCTGCGGGCTCTTCCCGGCGCTGGAGGAAGGCTCGGGGGAGAACGGCGCGGACCCCGCGGAGGGCGCGGCGCAGGCCCCCGGGGTCGGGCATCTCTCAGCGGCCAACGGCAAGCGCGGCGGGGGCCCGGCCAACGGGCTGCTGCGGAGCGCCGCAGTCCCGCAGGTAACCACGGGCAGGTGTCCACGGGAGGACGAGGGCAGTGTCCCCTCAGCCTGTGGAAGTGCGGGGCCGCGCACCTCCGCGATCAGCCGGCTCCGAGGGCGCTGACTGCAGCCGCTGCGTGGGTTGGGGGACCCCCGGGGGTTGCAGTGAGCAGGATGCCACCCTGTAACGCTGCCCGGTGGCAACCAGGTCTCTTCTAAATACACCCAGAACCTCTAAATACAATCTGTGTAATCTTTCTACTTTACAAAGTAGTTACCGTGTATAATTCCATCAAACATGTAGGCGTTACGTAATTGAAAAGAGCGCAGATGTCCTTGGCACTTCCCTGGGGAGACCGCCTCATCCCTTCCCGGATCTGCACACACCGGGTGTAGCAGGGCTCAGCGTGCTCCGCCAGCTCTGAGGACCGAAGTTCTGGTTTACCTCTTGCTCCTAGGGAGATCCACAGCCTCCTAGGCTACCCCCAGCGAGGATGTTCTAACAGCGCCTCCCTCTCGCCCCTGCGCTTGAGTCTTGGGGGCCCTCTTGCCTGGTCGGTCTTTTATTTAATTGGCACTAGTGACTTTTAACAGATGCTTTTTTTGAGAGAGAAGCGCCCCGCCTCCCTGCCAGGCGTTCAGAGTGTGGTTATACAACCCACTGCGGCTTTGGGAAAGCCAGCGCGAGTCTTCAGATTGCAGTGCTCAGGGACTCCAGACAGGAGGGACAGAGGCTGCACATGGGCTGCGGGGGACAGTGTCCACCCTGGGCACTGGCAGACGCTGCCCTTTCTCTGGGCAAGGTAAAAAGTGTGGCAAATGAGAACAGAGACAACATACTAACAATTGTAATTCCTTTTTAAAAAGCCACATTTCGTTCTTCCTAGGTGTTGGTGACAGGAAGGTGGCGTTTATTTATGTGCAGATCTCTAGGTCTGGGGACTGGGGGAGAAGTGGCTTCTGTCTGAAAGGGCATGTTATGGGCACTGAGTTATAGAATTTGTTGGGGAAGGGAGGGGGGTGTGTTCCACTCCAGAGAAATGCCCCTCTGTGTTTTTTTCTTCTTCTATGGTTCCTTCTTTGTCCCTTGTGACATTCTCGTAACTTCTGAATAAGTTTTGAGACTGCCTGTTTCCTTTTGCCTTGTCTTCAAACAGGCAGAGTGGGGGGATGAAACCAGTCACACAAGGTGCCATGGCCTGGAGCTCGCAGTGTTTACGCACACAGGTCCATTCCTGGGCTGAGGTCTTGTGCCCTCTTTACCTCCTTCCACCCTGTTCCTCTAATTTAGGAAGCTGGAAAAGAGTGAATTGTTTCACCAGGACTTTGCAAACTGTTTTCAAATTTACCCTTGGTAACTTAGCTTTAAATTCTGGAGAGGGATCCTCTCGCCTGTTGAAAGCCAGAAACCATATTTCTTGCCCAGTGTCATCCTCTTTCTACTTGAAGGGCTGCCGCAAGCCAAATTGTAGGGGGTTCCCTCTTCTCACTCAAAACAGGACTTGCACCTGTAGATCAAGAAAAATTGGAGAGCACTAAAAATCCAAGATAAGAAATCACTGTCTAGCACTCTGGGAGGCCAAGACAGGTGGATTGCTGCTGGTCAGGAGTTTGAGACCAGCCTGAGCAAGATCAAGACCCCCCTCTCTAAATATAGCCGAGTGTTGTGGCAGGTGCCTTTAGTCCCAGCTACTTGGGAGGCTGAGACAAAAGGATCACTTGAGCCAGAAGTTGGAGGTTGCTGTGAGCTATGATGCCATGGTACTCTGAGGGCAACACAGTATGACTCTATCTCAAAAGTAAAAAAAATAAATAAATAAAAAATAAAATCATGTGTTGGTATCTAATGAATGGCGAACTTGAGAGCATTTGATAAATGAAAGGTAATGAATGTTTTTAAAGGTGGTTTGCTTTCTACCCAATAGGGAAGAGTAATCCTTTACAAATACAGATGGAGTTTCCAACAGAAATGATTGCTTGCCCTCCTCCAGGTAATTTCCAGGACTTTAGGGGGGTCAGTCGGAAAACTCCTCTCCAGGAGGCTTGCTTCCCTCTCCGCCTCAGACAGCACCAGGGCTGTGGCCTGCTGAATTGCCTATCTTTTCTGTAAATTCCCTCCTTCAGTTTCAAAGATCACTTCCTTGATAGGCTACCTAGGAACTGACCTTTGGGAGCTAGCTTCCCCTTTTATTTATTTTTCTTTCTTTCCTTTCTTTATTATAGATCATAACTGTGTACATCACTACATTTATGGGGTACAATGTGCTGATTTTATATACCATTTGGAATACTGGGTAGCTCCCCTTTTTAGAAGTTCTCTTTGATGGCAGTGCTTCTTCAGTATTGCCTTCCCCCCATGGTGTAGATGTGCCATCGTGTGGGTATCTGATTAGTGCCAGCTCCTTCAGGTGATGGGAAGGTCTAAGAATGCAGGAAACTTGTCTCTTCCACTCATTATTTTCTTCCCCTGGCCTGGCACATAGTAGGAGCTCAGTGACTTTTGTGAATACGTGAGTGCATGTTGCAGTATAATTTTTGTATTTGTAAATAGAAGAGATATGCTGAAAACTGGGTGATTTTTCCATATAGCCCAGAAGGTAGCATAAGGACATTGATTGAAGACCCTTCCAATAGTAGAGAAGTTGTTTTGTTGAATTGTGTGACTTTAGAGCTCATTGCAGCTAATTCACCATCTATGTTTCTATGTTTATTTTAATCCTTAAAACAGGACAGGTGCGAAAATGATTAAGGGCCACCTCCGTAAATTCTCAGCACGAGGGCTTAAGTGATTTGGCAAAGTCTTTTCAGACTTTCACAGAGTTAGAGAAAGTCAGATCTTTTAACCCCCAAGTCTAAACTTTCCAATGTGCAGCTCCCAGGGAAAAGTCTAGGACCTCACTTTACCTGGCTCACTGAGGTGGCATAAGGTGTTGGTGCTGGCTGGGGACAGGGTGGAGATTGGGTAAAAAGAGGCAGTATTGCTTTCAGTTTGCAAGGTAACGAGTATGCGAGTGTAACCATAGGAGGACATGCTTGGTAGTTGCTTTGGGAGGCATTGCCCTGAGCAAAGCCAGGGCTCCTAGGGCCTGGCTATGAAGGCAAAGGCATAGTCACAATTGTGTTTGTTTATTCTAGTATAAAGCCAGCTTTGGAGACAATGATATTTTGATTTCCTACATCTCTGCTTGCCCAATATAGTTTTATTTAGATAAACTTTGCAGCTCCTTTCCTCATCATTACATTAGACTAGTGCTAATCTTTCTAGATATCATTATGTTCAATTTTTTTTTTTTTTGAGACAGAATCTTACTCTGTTTCCCAGGCTAGAGTGCCATCGTGTCAGCCTAGCTTACAGCAACCTCAAACTTCTGGATTCAAGCAATCCTCCTACCTCAGCCTCCCAAGGAGCTGAGACAGTAGGTACCTGCCATGACACCCAGCTAAACTTTCTATTTCTAGTAGAGAAGGCGTCTGGCTCTTCCTTAGGCTGATCTTGAACTCTTGAGCTCTAGTGATCCTTCTGCCTTGGCCTTTCAGAGTGCTTGGATTACAGGTATGAGCCACTGCACCTGGCCTCAATATTTTTGGATAACTATTTAGACATAGTTCTAAAGTTGGGTTGGGCAGATGATTAAAGATAGCTTCTAGAAGTCTGTACTCCTAGTATTTCCTAGGAAATATTTGGGGCTTTCTAAATGTGTTAATCTATAAAACCCCATCCTTGATTTTTATTGGATTACTAAGGTGCATATAATACACCCTGGAAATCAGACTTGGATGTCTAGTTCTGCCTCTAGGTCATTTTGGACTTCTCTGAGTCTCAGTTGTTTTATCTGCAAAATGGGCAGAGTGGAAAAGAACCATTGTTTTCCAACCATGGCTGTACACTGTAGTCATTTAGAGGAGCTTTAAAAACAAAAGCAAAAAACCAGTGGTGAGGGACTAGGTCAGAAGTGAGGCCCACATAAGCTGATGCACAGATCTGGTTCTCTTTTCCTGAGGGCCCATCGCACTCAGTATGTTCAGAATGATGGTGGCAATGGCCAGAGGCACAGGTCATGGCAGCTGGGACATTTGACCTCATCATAACTAAACTGGCCAACAGGCCAAACTTTAGATTTTTTTAAAAATTATGATTTGTTTAGTTATTGTTTGAGATGAAGTCTTGCTATGTTGCCCAGGCTAGTCTCAAACTTTTGAACTTACGTGATCCTCCCACCTCAGCTTCCTGAGTATGCAGGATTGCAGGCACACACCACAATGCCTAGACAACTTCAAGTTTTGTTTACCCTTAGCTAGATGTTTAGGTCTGAAACAGCAAAATGAATCACTTTGTAAAGATATGTTTGATCATTTTTTTTTCTCATTACAGTAATTGTTCACAGGAGAAAATTTGGGAAAGAAACAAAAAGTTAAATCCATATCATTTATACCATTTCTAAACTTAATCACTCAGTAAATGTTCAGCCTGATTTTTAATGGCTATGTATTCCTCAATAGCATGAACATGCTATCATTTAGTAGGCCAACTGCCAGACCTTTCGGTTATCATCAGTTTTTGCATTAAAAATAACATCTTTAGGGCCACACACAGTGTGTCTCACCTGTAATGTTCGGCCTCTGGGAGGCTGAGGCAGGTGGATTGCAGGTGGAGTTTGAGACCGCTCTGAGCAAGAGGGAGACTCTGCCTCTACTGAAAATAGAAAAACTAGCTGGGTATGATGGTGGGCACCTGTAGTCCCAGCTACTCAGGAGGCTGAGGCAAGAGGATCACTTAAGCCCAAGAGTTGAGGTTGCTGGGAACTGTGACACCATGGCACTTTACCCAGTGTGACAGAGTGAGACTCTGTCTCTGAGTCTCATTTTGTCACCTTAAGTAGAGTGCTGTGGCGTCACAGTTCACAGCAACCTCCAGCTGTTGGGCTCAGGCGATCTTCCTGCCTCAGCCTCCTGAGTAACTGAGACCACAGGCACCTGCCACTACGCCCAGCTATTTTTTTGTTGCTGGGGCGGGGTTCG